GACTTATAATATGAAGAATAATAAGAGGGAGAGAAGGGGGACTTCCCTCAAAACCTTAATGCCCTAAGCAAACTTCCAGGGTCAAAACGCCTACACCTTGTGTAGAAAACATGCCGTCACAAACAACTGGATATCGTGCAAAGATGAGTGGCATCGGCGAAACGGCTTCCTTGCGTCTTTAACTGCCCCGCGTCATAATCAGCCGTTACCCTGCAGATAACTCAGCACCAAACACACTTTAAACAGGCAGTCCGCCTAGGAGACGGCAACAGGCGCCACTGGTGTCGGTTGCGAGCCGTGCTTGTAAAGTCTCGAGCCAAGCACAAGGTGAGTCACGTGGACTCCAGCCCGGAAGGCGAGACGGACCAACGGCACCCAGTTTGGTCGTCAGTGACTTCATTTCCCGCTGCCAAGTCAATTTCTGTCCACCTCGAGCCTTGCGCCACCCTAAACCTGATAGACTAAACAACGTCCTCCTCTTTAAATGGTGACCAGGCAATGCTTCGCAGACCACGGTGAGAAAAGACTTGAAGACGTCTCAGATTTTAGCATCGAAGCGTTCAAGTTTCACTACCATAGAGCAGAACGGCCCTCACTGTGGCCTTGTATACACGGCCTTTCAGACGGAGGGAAACTCCCTTCTGTCGCTAAAGATGCCGAAGTTCAAGTAGGCAGTTCTGGCCTTTGCAGTGCGTGAACTGACTTCAGTTTCTATGCGCCCATCGTTGCTAATGCAGCTGCTAAGGTAAGCGAATTGATAAACCATCTCGACTTCCTCTTTAGCAAGCGTCAAGGGGTCATCAAGTGGCTGGTGGTCCTGCAGCAACACTTTGCACTTTGAAGGTGCAAAGTGCATACCAAATAATGGGACCACTTTATACAGGTTATTCAGGGTTGATTGTGCCGCCGCAACATGTCGAAAAGCAAGACGATATCGTCCGCATAATCTTGATCAACTAACCTTTCACCAGGCAGAACCTCAACGTCTACATCGTGAGATTCCGCAAGGGAACACTCCACTATAGAATCCACGACGAAATTGAACAAAAATGGGGAAATCGGACAACTCTGACGAACACCACTTGTGGTCGGAAAGCCATCCGATAGGTCACCCTAGACCCTGACGCGACCTGTAGTGTTCGAGTGCAGAACACGAAGGATGTCCACATATTTCGTGGGAACACCTTTCCGCGCAAGATTTCAAACAGAATCGATCGATCGCTTGAATCGAACGCACTCTTGAAATCGAGGAACACAGCTACTGTCGGTCTGCGGTATGCGTGGCGCTGCTGTAGCACCTGCCGCAGACTGAACATATCGTCTATACAGCTATGTCCTGGGCGGAAACCTGTGTGCTCTTCCTTAATCCGCGATTCACATTCCGCAGTGAAGCAAAGAACGAGAATCGTGGCCAGTAATAATGTCACAACTGAAGTTAAGCTAATACCCCTGTGGTTATAACAGTCTGTGCGACTGCCCTTCTTGTACATTGCCACTATAATCGATCCGCTCCAGTTAGCCGGGACACTCTTCTTTCTAGATATGTTTGAATAGAAAGGTCAGTGCTTTGCAGGGGATCTCACGTCTACTCTCAAATAGTGTAGATGGGACTGACTCCGGGCCAGCGACACGAAAACGATTGAGGGCTGTGATTACGTTTCGGACCTCGGCCCCCTACAGCGGCTCTAAATTAACCGTCCATTGCTCGTTCTGCATTCCCTGCGTAGGAAGAGGTCCGATAGTAGGTTGCCAGCTTAACTGATCTTTACAGTGTTCCGCCCAACGAGCCATACGGCGCTCCTTATTGTGTGTCAGTGCACCCGCCCTGTTTCTGCTTGTCTCACTGATGCCTGGTTTTTTGGGACCAGTGGTTCAGATCAAGTGGAAGAGCTTGCTTTTGCCTCCATTTCTTGAGCCCGACTGGTCCACCAGGCTTCATTGTCAGCACGTAGGCTCCGCTTTAGTTCGCGCCTAATAGCCCCTCTGGTCACATTGTGTTCTGAGCTAGCCGGGAGATTTATTTTGTTTACCCAATGATTGGTGCGGTGACGATGGATAGTGCCACAAGCAAATGCTCCTGTGTCCTGCGTGGCAGACGAGATCCTATTCCACTGAAGCTCAATGTCATTAGGACAAGACAGTGGAAGTTCGGTACGCAGTGCATCTTAATGGGCTTGTCTGACCGAGGGCTGAAACAATTTCTCAGTTGCTAATCGGTGGAGACACTTAGTGCGCCTCCCGGTAAACTTCATGGTGAAGCGACAGCGTACTAAGGCATGATCAGAGTCGACACAGGTACTCCAGTACGAGCGGCATTCCAGAATTGAACCACGCCGTCTGTAACTTATGGCTATGTGGTCAATTTGGGTCCATCGCTGGCCAGCTACAGGAGGACACCAAGTGGCACCTCAGCTCCCACTGTGTCTAAAAGCAGTGCTACTAAGAAACAACTGGTGCTCTGCACACAGTTGTAGCAGACGTTCGCCGTTGTCAGTCCGTTCGGAGTTAAACCCATAACTACCACCCAGCTGAGCTTCTGAACTATTCATACGTCCTACTTTTCCTTTCATGTCTCCTGCAAGCACTATAATATCTGAACTAGTAGCACTGCGTACTAGCACGTTCAGATGGTGACAGAATGTGTCCTTGACAGCATTTGAACTGCAGTCGGTGGGAGCATAAGCGGAAATCACAAACAAACAGCACTTTGTACTACTTCGTGAATCAACCTTAGCTGATGTCGTCAAACGGGCTGCACATAAACGGCTGTTCACCGAAATCCAATCAACCAACGATGACTCAGACTTGGAACTTAGAATGATACCCACATCAGCTTGACCCGCGGGTGCTGTATCTGCGTCTCCGGATGCATGCAACCAGTTACAAGAGGATAAGCCCGATGCAGTTAATTCAACTACCCCATTAGGGTCATTGCTGCTAGTTTCGGACACACAACATACGTCAATACGCAGTGGGCGAATGCAGCTTGTTGACCTATTTGTCAGAGTGCGAATGTTGAACGCCGCCTTGAAAACTCGACAGCGTGGCCTTATAAGGGACTGTTGCCGATGGGTGTTGTGGGTAGGTGGCTTCCAATGGTTCTACTCCAGTAGCATTTCGGTTGCTGTCAGTTAAGCTTGGGAGTATAGAAGGAAGATATTAGTAATGGGGGTCGGGATAGGAGCATGTGGAAAAGAGAGAAGGGAGGTGGCAGCTGTAGCATGTTTTCGCTTATCCGCCCTGCTGTGTGCAGCAGATAAGGCGACCCTTGATGATCTGCGCGACGACCGATGCAGGATGAAGTTTATGTTTGAAGAAAACGTCATAGTTGTATGTGGGCTGAGGTCCTGCCAGGGCGCCCCGATCTAGACAGGAGCACGATTAGGGTCCTCAAAAGGCTTTGGTCTTCGGCTCAACAGCCTGTCCGCAAGGCAGCGGGGAGGTGGTAATGATTTAGTTTTACAGAAATGGACGCCATCCCCTTTCAATCCCCCAACCTGAAGGACCAGGAGACTGATCTTTTCTGATCTCTCACCATTGACCTACCTGGTAGGAGTAGCTCACAAGTTGCCCGGTGGCACCACCCAGTATAGCTCAATGGGTCAAGCGGGTAGGCAAGCTGTCGCACCACGTTAAGGTTCAGTATTGTTGCGTTTCGTGCTGTCCCATTGTATTTTTCCGGCAGGGATCGCCTCCTCCGCTGAATCTTGGTGGAGATCAGCTATAAGTCGTTCGGAAATTCAACTATCTGAAGTTGTATCAGCGCCCTTGGGATCGAAGACGAGATCACGAACCGTATAGCAAAAGCTCGAAGTGCTTTTGCTAACCGTCGCCACCTATGGCAGTGGCGCGACATCACTCTCGCCCTGAAGGGTAGAGTGTACAATGCAGAGGTACGTTTGACCCTACTGTATGGTTGCGAAACCTGGCCCCTAAGATCGGCCGACATGAAGAGACTGGTTACATTCGACCATCGGTGCCTTCGCAGTTTGGCTCACATCTGGTGGGGACACCGCGTGAGTAACGAGCGTGTTCGACGCCTTGTTTACGTCACAGAGAAAGGAACTGAACCGCTCAGCACCGTCATTTCACGCACCAGGCTCCGATGGCTGGGCCACGTGTTGCTCGTGCCAACCCACCGCCTTCCTCGACGTGTGTTGTTTGCTCACCGGGTGTGTGGATGAAAGAAGTGGTGGGGAGGCCAAGCGATGACTTGGTCGAGAGGAATGAACGCCATCACTTCGGAGCTGGCCTCGGTTTGAGTGTCACAGCTCCCTGGTTGGGGTCCGAAAGACGATGAACACGTTTGGCTGGAGACACTTGCTGACATGACAAGGAGTCGACCTCAGTGGCGTTCCTGCTGTGAGTTTCTTTGTCCCTCCCCATCCCTTTTAGCCTCCTCCTCCACTACCGTTCTCATTTCTTAGCGTAAAACATAATACTTTTTCTTTTTGCCTAGTAGCCGGCTGGTAGCTTACCGGAACGATGCCTATCCGTTGCTGGTAGCTCAGCTGTCATTCAACTGTTGTACTTACTTTCCTTTTCCTTTATGTATTGCGGCACAGCATCTGAAGTGTTTCCCACCTTTAGCTGACGTGTATAATGATGATGAATGATGATTGTATTTTTCCACCATATATGCCGCTGAGCCTGCCCCCTCCCACGTTTGCATTTGTGATTTATTCGCCAAGGTTGTTTTTGCACTCTGCATGCATGCGCGTCATCGAACACCTTGGGCAAGATACCGCTCAAGTGCGCGCAACGCACAGGATCTCCTCCTTAAACCAAGTTACTAGCTTCCACGCAACCCGCTCTAATGTCAGTAAAAAATCTATTACCCCATTTGCCCTTGATGATCTTTGCTTCTCTTGTCCGATTATCATTATAAGCATGCCCATGTTTTGTTCCTCTGTTTTTCTGCCTTTATTTCCTACTTCCATTGTGTTAGTTTTCCCACGTCTCACCTTACTCTCCACTTTGTCTGCTTTCTATCTGCTTAGAAACCCGTTGTTCCAGCTCGGTACTTCAGTATTGACCGCGTGTTCCGCAATGAAACACTCGACGCAACTCATTTGGCCGAGTTTCACCAAGTCGAAGGCCTCGTTGCCGACTACGGTCTAACTTTGGGCCATTTGAAAGCTGTGATTCGAGCTTTCTTTAACAAACTGGGTCTCACAAAGCTTCGTTTCAAACCGGCGTACAACCCATACACAGAACCAAGTATGGAAATCTTCAGCTTTCATCCAGGTTAGTGAATGTTTATTTTTATATTTTCCATGTTTCTGTCTTACGCAACACTTGCTCCAATAATGAGGACATTTCGAGATATCATTCTAAATATCATTCGCTTCTATTCTAAAACACTGACCGTCTGTCGTCCACCGGTGTCGCTCACACCCACTTTTGTCCTTCTAAACACACTATTATTAGTGCCGCTTAAACGTGACTGGCTACAATATCACAAGGCTAGACACTATTATAAATGATAATAATGTATAGACAATAATGATACATAAATATGTGCTTGCATGACGGCTGTGAGTTCCATTCAGATTGCATTGCGTTGCGACTGGATGGGTCGAGACTTGAGCACATGAACGGAAGCGCACACGTCCGTTGTCCGGTCGTTACAGTGCTGATGTTTTGGGTGTTGCGTCTTGCTGCGATAGGATATGAGTGAATGCGATCTAGTGCCTTCCAATTGTCACGTGCTTCGACCCCGGCGTGGTAATTTACAAGGGCAAAATGCTTTTTGACGTGGCGTGTATATCACGTGATGTGTGGTTAAGATTTGCCATGCAGTTTACGTGAGGCGCAGTTCCAGTGTTTTGAGTGGCACAGGTTTAACACGATCTGAACGGTAGACCTTGTTCAACTTTTGTACTTACGAAAATGTTTATTTACATTTCTTTGCGATTTGAACCGTCATTTCTATGGAACCAAACGTTAACAGGCAGTTTGTACTCGTTTGTACCCCGTTGCGGCCCAACAATCAATGTTTTAAGGCGATTGCATTTAGCGATATCATCTGTGTACCGTCATTTCAATTCAGTGTGAAAGTGCTGTTGTTCCAGTGGGGGTTGTTGGTCTCTATATGTCATGGGACCTGGTAATCGTTCTGGACAATACTTGCATGCCAAAACGAAAACTGGGAAAATACAAGTGAACGCGACCATAGGGCGTCTATTTTTCTTGGTAGCCATAACGGGATCTGAACAAGAGAAAGATCTTGCATCAAAGGCATAATAAAAAACCTTTTGAAGCACTTTAACTACATAGTACTAGTGTTATTGGTAAAGCTAAGGCTCTTCAAAAGTACATAGGTACCTTCCGTAGTAGTTTATCACATAAGAACCGGTATAGTGCTTGGAATACTGGAGTAGTGCGTTTCCACTGGTGTACAGCCATCAACCGAGGTTGGAATTAGATAACATACTAAATGTAATTAGCGATGCCAATGTGTACGAACGTCAACAATTTGTACTTTTGGCCTAATTTCGTTTCAACAATTTGTACTTCATTCCAACTAACGAACAAATATGGCCTCAGAATGCGACCCATATACAAACCAACGGTGTCTGTCTACGCGGCATGTGATCTCGCATGCGCATCAACCGAAGATCACGGCACAGTGTGATTTGACAGAAACGGAAGCCAGGTAGGGTGCAAAGATAGATGGATGGATTTCATGCGTGAGCATTCGCATCAGCGTTCCAACGTTGTGAGGTCATTGATATTACGGTAGTACAGTGTCACATGTGTCTATCATGAACTAGTTCCCACTAGTGTTTAGTGTAAGCTCACCGTCAACAACGTGTCATGCAGTGTCAAATGTGATTTGTAACGCAATTCGTGTTGTGTCGCAGAAACTTTATCACGCAAATTCGGGTACATTTGGCTTCTGGTCGGATCCGTTCCGCGTGGCGTAGTTTGCCAACCCCTGGTTTATGAGAATGTTTAGGTGATTGCAAATGGTATTATGCCAGTTCCGTTTGATCCTAATTCGTATGTCAACAGACGGGCAAATTCCTCATTGTTAGCTTCATACACAGGAAGCATTTCATCACCACTGCGTCTGTCAAGCAGATACCGAGCGGATGAGCTCAGGGTCCCGCATCCTTCTTGCTACCATGGCTAGTAGCCAGTTGTCGTATGGTTTAGCTCATCTTCTGCTCTCGTCGGGGCATTGCTAGCGCACGTAAAGCAAAGCGGCTACTCCTTTGCACAATATTTTCCTTTACATAGCAACTAGCCTGCTTACAGCTACCTCGAACCGACTACTTATTTTTTGTCAGTAGTTTCCTAAATGGTCCGGTCTTAGCCTCTTGTCACTACGGTCGCGCTAACTCATCATCGGTTGGAGAGTGCGAATGCACTGTTAGCGAAATAGTCGATTCCTACTTTTCCCATATGCAAGGCAGCTGTCTCTCTATTAGTCTTCTTTTTATGAATATATATATATAGAGAAGATTATGGATGATTGGCTGTTGTTTGACATCCCAGGTGCGGCTGCGCTTGATGTGCATCTTGACAAGGTGCTTACCTGTCTGTTACCCACTACCTGGTCCATACTGGCTCAAGGAGACAGTTGGTCGTTGCTGGAGGGGACGGGGTGCACGGTCCTTGTGGCTGTGCTAGGCTCTATGAGTGGTTCCATGCAGTCAGTGTGAAGCGGACAACGGTCTAGCCTCCACCTTGTGTGCACTTGATTCTCCAAATACAGCGTGCTTGTGTTTGTCTGTGAAGGAGTGTTAGCCGGCTGCGTTGATGAAACGTGGTTCCCATCCACATGCCTCCTGGTCTTATTCCTTCGGGTTTACACTGGATATGGGGTGTGTGGGTGGTGCAGCGCAAGCCATCCATGGTCCCTCTGTAGGCGCAGGCGTCCTGTGGCAGGCAAATCCGAAACCGGATGCCGCCAACCAAATATATACATATATATCACCATTATTTTGCTGGAATACAATGTTTCACCAAAGTGAAATAGAGCAAGGCTTTTAGTTATTGTTGTTAAGCAAACCCTTGCAGTTTTTCATTGGGAAAACCCACCGTATCTTGGAACATTGATACCGAACAATTTACTGGAGCCGGAGAGGCTAGAACTGCCCAGCTGGAGCGACGACGAGGTTGTCCGACGAGTCGAAATCGAATGAAGTAATGCGTTGTATAGGTTAATTGGATCGACCGAACTGCGGTCTGGTTAGAACTTGTAATCACCTGTTTGCAAACAGTTCTCAGTCACCCAAATTAGCAGATGCCAAAGATTGCCAAGCTACTGCGATTAGCAAAAATCCAGTGGCCTCCACTTCCTGCACTATTTCATTGAGTGTTTATGGCATAAGACGTCCGAAGCTAGTTTACATGGTGTTCTCTTCATGCATCACATTCTTACCCCATGCTCGTGAGGACTTCAAAGTCCATTGGCCCATGGCGTAAAGCATAACATACCTGTATTGTAATCCTAGGTTGCTAGTTCGAGCCTGCATAAGGATCGGGTTACTCTCGCGGTATCCTTAGCTCTCACGCGCGACTGTTGGTGGTATCGCGGTAGCGAACCGTCTCTACTGCGTAGCGTCGTACTGATGGTAACTTCATAATTGTCTACCATTGCTGTGCACCTTATCGCTGTCTTTCTCTTCTCCACTCTGATCTGGTGTGTGGAATCATTTCCTGTGTGTAATCAAGTATGACGTTGTTCCTTTTTCTTTTACCTAGATCTCATATAACCTTGTGAGTAGCAAAAGTGTCTGGGCAGCGATCAAAACCTCTTATTCGTTAAACGTACAAGCTTTGAGACACTACTTCATTGCATTAGCTTCTAATTTCTCGTTTATCGCTAGGGCGTCCTCTGTCGTCTCTATATTCATTGTATCACCGCACGCGCCGCTCGTCTGCTGTGCCGGGTCCAGTGTACTCCTGCTCTGTGTAGCACCATGTTGAGCTTGGTTGATGCTTGTCCACCCGAATAATGCATCGTTCACCCCTGGTTCTTGCGATTATGGTCAGCTCGTGTGGATTACGTTTGAATCGTTTTTATCCTGATGCATTAACTGTTTTCGCTCAGTTGGCCGACCACTATCGAACTCTGTGTCGTTAGTCGGTTCGTTGATGTGCATATGCTGTCCGTGCTCTGTCCTTAGGATCAATCCTTGTTATTAACCCCACTACATTTCATTCACGCTGGATCGAACCACTTCTACACTGCCTCTGTGACTCGTACAGCCGCCGTAGTCGGCTCGCGTGAGCGGGGAGTGGTTGGCATCTATCTCAGTTACGTTCACCCAGACGGCCACCTGCCATTCTCGTAGAGGGAGCACCGATCACATACATCTACAACGCATTGCGCTTCTCCACGTGCCCCTTGACCAGCGCTTCTGGCAGTCGATGACAAGAGTTGTTTGCTTTTTAAGGCCACAAGTGGGGTGTTTAGGTTGTGAGTTTCTTTGTTCCTCTCCAACCACGATCTCACTTGACGCACCATGCAATACGGTGCATTTTTTCTTGTTTTTGTTCTTTATTCTGTAATTTCTAGTATTTCGTTTTTCCATATATCTATTATTCTGTATTGCGAGCAGTAGCCGATGTGTTTCCTATCTTTATCTTCCGTGCTATTATGATTGATAATGATGATGATGATGATGATGATGCGCTATGTCACAGGTGCTTCCGCGGTCGGGCGCTTCTTGCTATATGGTGTATGCGAACCCCTTTTTACTGAAGATGATATCGTCTTCTTTTGTCACTACTTTATGGTCAGTAGCTATTTAATTTATTAAGTTTTCCGTTGGAGCCATTGTTTGATGTTCACGTTTAACTCCTTGTCATGCTTTTATTGTTGTACCGACATTTGTCTGCTACAAAGTTTACTTTAGTCCGAATAACCGCTTATTGGCAGTCACATTGTAGATGGTCACACTATTTACGGAAAACCTACAAATTTTTTGGCAGGATTAGATTACCCGTTAGAAAACACTCATTGTTATACATTACTGGAAATGATAACTGCGATTTCACTTTTTACAGTTCTATGCATATTTGCTGTTTGGTCGTCTCTAGGTTGATTTTAAAGGAATTGGAATCAATTTCAGCGGAGACTCGTCACAACTGTACTCAGCTAGGTGAACACGGTATACCACAAAGAATCCTGTATAACCGTTACATCCTTCAGAGGCCAGTTAGAAATACGCATTATCAATAGCTGCGAAGGGTCTTTAAGTATTGACTGTATTTTCACGCATGATAGAGACTTAGACTGCTTGGTTCTGACGAACGAACGAAACGGCAGTGACTAACTAAAATTGCCTGTGACGTAGAGCGACTTATCATCCACTGACGTGCTACATTCCAACGTGCTTATGGCAACACTGGACCCAAAAGACATTGCCTCCCTCTTTTAGCCACCACTCATCTAGCGGCATTTTAATCTAGCTCGAAGAAGAAGGGCGTCAGCAGTACGCCGGTACGCGGTACCGACACTTCATTGTCGCGCAGGCACTACCGATTGCACGTGGGTGCACGGTACTGCGAGGGCCGCCCTGTCCTTACACAGGCTTGCCGCCGTGCTCTCAGATTACATGGCAGGCTTATGATCCTTAAGGCTATGGATCGGTCAATTAGATATTTTGGATGTAATGCAAAGAGCTTCGAATCATAATCGGAGAATATTCATCCTGGATGAACTTGGTGGATCATCCACAACACGCCTTCTTTTTTTCGATCCACGTCGGTAATTCGTCTTCCGTTTTTCACATTACCCTATTATTTTCTAGGTTTAAATAAATGGGTAGAGATTGGCAATTCGGGAATTTTTCGGCCTGAAATGCTCCGTCCGATGGGTCTTCCCGAAGGCATGACCGTGATTGCGTGGGGTCTATCTCTGGAACGGTGAGCGAGGTGTTTCGGGGTCGTTTTGTCTTTGCTCCTTTTGCTTAGTAATCAAGTTCTTACGGTTGCACCACTGAATTTCTCATCTCGTCTTCTTCACTAATCGTCATGCACATGCAATCGGTTAACAATCACCTTGTTCCTCTTGGTTTCTGGACATATTTTTCCAAATCTTTATTCCATTATTTGTTGTAGTCAGCTTGGACACATATGTTTACCTTGCTGAGTCTAATCTGAATCGGATCTTAAAGCATTAAGTTCCGCGTATCATCCTGGTCAAAACCATAAGATGAGCACTGTAAGACGACGCCATTTCGTGTTATCTGATCACTTACAACCATATATATATATATATATATATATATATATATATATATATATCACATGCCCCATGCTGAGGCTGATGTTGCATTCTTGATGCTTCTTCACCGCAGTTGGGCTAAACCAACTTACACTTAAACTAGGTCTTTTTAAGCTGGATAAATTTCGTTCCGCTTTATTTGGTTTGTTCTGCCTCCCTGAATAATGTTCTATTAACTGGCCACGTTGCTTACACGAATTGCGCTTATCTTCGGTAATTTTGTTGCGTTTGTAGCATTTCAAGTAACTTGTGGACATTTCTTACTTATCACGGATTTGTTGCTAACCAAATTACTTCATATGGTAATTTAGCGAAGAGTTATGCCACCGTATCTGTATGTATTATTGGATTTATTTTATTTCAGCTTGTCGTTTAAAGTGCATGGCTGTTGTTTGATATCCCTGGTATGGTTGCGCTTGATGTGCATGTTGACAAGGTGCCTACCTGTCTATTACCCACTACCTCGTCCATACTGGCTCCAGGAGACAGTCGGTCGTTGCTGGAGGGGACGGGGTGCACGGTTCTTGTGGCCGTGCTAGGCTCAAAGAGCGGTTCCATGCACTCAGTGTGGAGCGGACTACGGTCCAGCCACCGCCTTGTGTGCGGTTGATTCCCCAAATACAGCGTGCTTGTGTTTGCCTGTGAAGGAGTGTGGGCCGGCTCCGTTGATGAAACGTGGCTCCCATCCGCATGCCTCCCGGTCTTATTCCTTCGGGTTTACACTGGATATGGGGTATGTGGTTGGAGCTGTGGGTGGTGCAGCGCAAGCCATCCATGGTCCCTCTGTAGGCACAGGCGTCCTGTGGCTTGCCACAGTGACAGGCAAATCCGAAACCGGATGCCGCCAACCATATATATATCACGTGAAGGAAGAAAACGATCGTTCTGAATTGATCCGACAAAAGGACACACAGAAACCAAACAACAGATGGTTGAGCTGAGGTAAATGTCATGTACCCTAAAGGAAGCTTAAGGGCTACCGTCACTTGCGTTTGTACACAAAGAGTGGGACGGTAATCATTAAAGGACACATTCTCGGCAAACTTCAGCACCCTGGCGTTTTCGTTTCGATAGACAACCGTAAAAGTCGAGCCAGGCTCAACTGTACCAATTAGCTGTCTAGCGGTGCCTGACGCCGGCTGATTGCTTGCTGCTCCTTGTCCGCTTGTGCCACCAGCCCAGCCATTCGCTTCGTAATATGCTCCCCAACCCTTTTCCTCAGACCACGATCTGTTCTACCAATGTAACTGCTTCCTCAGCTACATATGCCGTCACCACTTTGCCCTTGATAGACGGGCGTTTTGGAAAAAGTAGTGCCAACGAGATTCGTCATAACTCTACTCATTGTTGAGAATGCCTTTGTATTTTCTTTCATCCTCTTCAGACCTACCATGATCCGCTACGGTTACAAAAATATCCGCGATCTCATTGGTCCAAAAATCGACTTGAGCATGGTTTATTCTGCTCCTCTTTGTCGGATGGAAAAATTCTAGGGACATGTCATTGCACGGGGGTTTCTTCCACGTAAGTCGGAGTTTCCGTTCCGTCAACCTTTTCGGGCTTTCTTTTGCGGCGATTTCCGTCTAATATCGACATTCCCCATACGTCTGTTGCTCAACTTGTCGCTGCTAACTGCCTCCTTTTCACCTCACTCCATTTCCGAATGGTATTTCTTGGACCAGTTCTCGTTTAGGTTCTTGATTTCAATTACCTGGGCAGTTGTTGTTGAGTAGAACAACAATCAGTTGTCTTGGATCGTCTTGGAAATTCTTTTTGCACGGTGTCGGTAGCCGGAAGGATTACACAATTGTTCCCTATTCCGGAGATCACCGTTTGACATCCACTTTGTTTCGGGCGTTCTCGTGGTATAGTGAACCTACGCTGGAACCTGTGGTTGTCGCGTGTCATCGAAGTGTTAGTACGGTGTACCGGCTGATAGCTAGCTTTCATCACCAACCATTTTGACACATCAGTATCCGTATATCGATGCCTCGATTTTGTGAGGCGCTTCCAAATGAGAAAGGATAACTGGTAAGAAGGATATCTGGGAATCAGATAAAAACAAAAAAGCTGGGCTGAAGGGAATCGCCTACCCCGTGCGGTCAATCAGGCAATCGATCGAGCGGACGAATGCGTTTTCAAACACCCGGCTAATTGGACATTTGCCTCAGAGTTGAGAGGACAGTTTTTTCGGCGGCATTATCTGGCTACGTTGGCAGAGCTTTTTGTTAACACGTTTTTCGTGGTCAAGGCTGTTGGAATTTTGATTTTTCTTCGACTGGGCTAGAATTTTTGCGGAGAAATTTCTGGGTGGTTAATTCGGAATAGCAAGAAAAGTGAAGATCTAACAATGGCGACGGACAAGCACGAAAATGTTACAAATTTTTCTACCGAACATTTTCAAAAGCTGCCTCTTCAGCAACAGTCCCAGATGGAAGCACAAATGAAACTGATTGAAAGTTTAACGCAGTGCTTAAACGTACAATCAAACGGAGCAGCTACACGGGACACGCAGGCTGTTTCACTTGATCTTCTTACGAATTCAATCACTGAATTTCATTTTGATGCTGATTCCGAATCCACTTTCGAGGCATGGTTCAAACGTTGGGAGGATATGTTCCAGACGGATTTCAGCCGTCAAGATGATTCATGGAAAGTGCGTCTTTTGCTCCGCAAGCTCGGTACGAATGAACATACAAGATTCCTTGACCACATATTGCCCAAAGAGCCGAAGGATATCACTTTCAACGAAGCAGTGGCAACACTCAAAGAAATTTTTGGTGAGTCGACCTCATTGTTTAGCATTCGCTATCAATGTCTAAAACTTGTAAAGCGTGATACAGACGATTATGGGGCACTAGCAGACATGGTTAACCGCGAATGTGAACGTTTCAAGTTACGCTGTTTGACGGATGACCAGTTTAAGTGTCTAATATTTGTCAGTGCTTTACAGTCTCCACGCGACGCGGAAATCCGCACTCGGCTCCTTGCTAAGTTGGATCAAGACCCAGATTTGACATTGAAGTCTCTTGTATGCGAATGCAAACGGTTAATTATCTTGGAACACGACACGGCTATGATTGAGCAAAGTCGCCCAACCATTGCCGATACTGTTCATGCTGTGCAAAAAGCAAGAAAGCCTGGCTCGAATAAGTCGTTCAACAGAAAGCCGAACAAGCCGCCTACACCTTGTTGGTCATGTGGTGAATGGCATTTCGCACGATACTGTCCATTCAAGCGTCATATTTGTGATAAGTGCCATAAACGCGGCCACAAGGAAGACTTTTGCCATCAGTCCCGGCCAAGAAATGTGCAGCAGTCCTACAGAAGGAAACACTTCAGAAAACCTGACGCAGAATCACTATCGGTGATTGCTACGTTCCACAGCGATTCTAAAACACGCTGCCGATTTATCACTGTGCTTATCAACGGAATCCCAACCAGGCTGCAGTTTGATACGGCATCAGATATATCGATCATTTCCAAGAACACTTGGAAGCACATAAAGAGGCCGAAGATGATTGATTCCAACAAAGTCGCTCACAATGCATCCGGTGGAGTGCTGAAGTTGGTCGGAGAAATAAATTGCAAAATTTCATTCAACGGAGTGGAAAAGGCCGGAACCTGCTATTTGTCTGATCGACCAAACTTGAACCTCCTTGGACTTGAATGGATGGAAAAATTACAACTGTTTGATGTTCCAATGTGTCAGATTTGTAATAGAGTACAAACCGACCCAGTACATTTATCATTGTCGATAGGAGAAATGACCAGAAAGCTAAAGCAGCAGTTTGTCGCCTTGTTTGAAGATGGTCTCGGCCACTGCACTAAGTTCAAAGCAAAGTTGTGTCTTCGTGAAGGAACCAAGCCAGTCTTTAGAGCAAAAAGACCGGTACCGTATGCAGCCATGACAGCAGTTGATCAGGAGCTCGACCGACTGGAACGAGCCGGTGTCATCACACCAGTGAACTACTCTTCATGGGCTGCGCCGATTATCGTTGTGAGAAAGCCGAACGGTAAAGTGCGAGTCTGCGCCGATTTTTCGACTGGCCTGAATGCCGCATTGGACGACCATCAATACTCCCTTCCGATACCAGAGGATATCTTTGCCAAGCTGAATGGTGGGAAGTGTTTCGCCAAGCTCGACTTGTCCGATGCCTACCTCCAGGTTAAGGTTGATGAAAGCATGCCATATGATGCAGTTCGGCCATCCTCAGAGTCCATAGCTGGTGAAAGGAACCTAGAGATGGAACGTGATTTTAATCGGCGGTTGGGTGCCAAGCAACGTTCGTTTAGACCGGGTCAGCCAGTACTTGTGCTTGATTATCGGGGTGGACACGCGAAATGGACGCCAGGCACGATCCAGCGCAAGCGCGGAAGCGTCATTTACGACGTGCTGGTTGGAACGCAGGTATGGGTACGCCATGCAAACCAACTGCGAACAACAATGTGTCAGCCACAAGCAACAGAATCCGCCAAGCTTCCATTTGACCTGTTGACAGACAGCTTCAACTTGCCTACAGAGCCAGTAGAAGAACGCTGTCATCAGACGAATAGTACCAGACCGCAGAGTACGGAATTCGAATCCAGAACACTACAGCCAAGGCGATGCACCGGTAGGCGAAGAATCCCTTCCAGGAGGCTTCAGGTTAATCCCCGGCTAGCATCATACACAACGGCAGCAGCTTCAGGAGGGGAGGTATCCGGGAATCAGATAAAAACATAAAAGAAAAAATGGAAAGTATATAATGGTGATTGAAAGCTGGGCTGAAGGGAATCGCCTACACCGTGCGGTCAATCAGGCAATCAATCGAGCGGACGAGTGCGTTTTAAAACACCCGGCTAATTGGACTTTTGCCTCAGAGTTGAGAGGACAGTGTTTTCGGCGGCATTATCTGGCTACGTTGGCAGAGTTTTTGTTAACACGTTTTTCGTGGTCAAGACTGTTGGAATTTTGATTTTTCTTCGGCTGGGCTAGAATTTTTGCGGAGAAATTTCTGGGTGGTTAATTCGGAATAGCGAGAAAAGTGAAGATCTAACAAAGGGGATCCTGGCGTCGAGCATAGATGTTTTAAACAACCTTCCGCGCACAACAGAACACAGTTCCATGCCGGTAGTTATCGTGCGTAACTGATTCTGTATCGGCGAGGCAGCCTCCTTGGGGTCTCTACTGCCCGTATCATTGTCCATAGGCACTTCTGCCACTAAACGATTTCCTGTATGTCGCTTTTGCCTGTTCTGAGCCATGGCTTGAAATGTTTCAGTTTATCACCTGAACTTCAGTCTGTAAACCGAATCGAATCAATAGCGCCTAGTTGAATCCTCATTGACTTCATTCTTCGTTGTCAAATCGACGATTGCTCCACGAGCATTGTACCATGATGGATTCATCAAACAGAACGCGATCGCCTCCAGTTAACACCAAGCCGGCCTATATATCACATACGGAATCCGGCGCCGACGGATCATTTAAACATAAACGGTAGCGCTCCATCAGTCTGTCGCGCGAAAACCCAAATTCTATTTAAGCGTATCATGCCCCGTATAAAAGATAATTTTGTGTTACTTATGAGTAGAGGGATTTTGTACGATTTATTTGATTTACCCCATATATTTAGCCCTTTCAGTCTGCTGTCAATTGTGCCTACTATAACGGGATTTCCAGTTACTACACGTTGCCTCCCGAGCTTTCTCACCCCTGATGTTTACGCTTTTCGCTTCTCTTGACACACTACTTTGCGTATTGGTTGCCCTCATGGTGGTTCGCACTACAGGAACTTCGCGTGGTGGGGCATATGCATGGTCCTGACGGCAGTGACGAACGAAACCCCGATTGTGATCGAGATGCGCTATCTCCTTACGACCTCTGTCATGCTCCGTGCCAGAATTGGTACGACCTATCGCGCTGTTACGTATGCCCCTTCCGTTTTGCGCATATCTGAATATTGTCGGTCGGTGGCCGAGTGGCCTGCGCGCCTGGTTTGCAACCATATGGTCACCGGTTCAAATCCGCGTAGAGGTGGGCGTCCTCGCGGTATACTCAGGCCGCGCACGACTGGTGGTGTTCGCATGGCAACGAAGCGCCGTTGCGGCGTACAACTGGCGGTTTATTACTATTAATTATGAACATTGGGGCGTTTCGTGTCTTTTCTTCGATCGCATTGACCCGACTTTGTGACATACAGGTGTGTTTGAACTCATCCATTCGAAGTAACCGTCAATAAGTTTCTCAGTCTGCTATTGACCGAATGTCACTGGCGCTACATTGCTCCATACCCAGTGGTGGACTTCGGATCATTGGTATGCCGCAATTGGTGTCTACGCGTGACTACTGCGTGAGCAATCACATGCCCCTAGAGCCTAGGATACTCGATCCGAGGACGGATTCGCAATCCTTTTATGTTGAAAACTCTATGGTGGCATAGTGGGATCTCTTTGATCACCTGTTCCTCATTTGATTGCTATCCCCGCACTCGCGCTTTGTATTCCGTTC